ACGGAGAAGGCAGGAGACGGCGTCGGATCCTCCGACGCGTGGCGGCTTGGCCAAACGCCTCCCTCCCTCCCCCTCGCACGGGCAGTTGGAGGCAGCGGGGCCCAGAGCACAGGCATCCGTCTCGTGCCACCCTGCCACCACCACCTGGGTAGCGGTAGCGACCGTGCGTGAGCAGGGTAAGGGTGGGGGGGGGGGGGGCGGCTGGATCACCGCCCCACCTGCCGGTGCTCGCGCGCACGCTGTGGCAATCGCGGCGCAACCCCAGGTCACCCCCGCTCCGACGTGCCCCACCCCGCCCGAGTGCTGCTGGCAACCCGGGCCCAAACCCTTTCCCCCCCCGCCCACGGGAAACGACGGTTCCTGGGATATCGGGAGCCTTGAGGTGGGGGTCCATGCAAAAAGGGGTCGGCCAGGGCCAGAGCGCCGGATCTTGCAGGATCATGCAAAGCCAGGATTGCATTGACCCAGGCTAGCGCGCAGGATCCTGGAGGATGCTGAAAGATCTTGCAGGATCTATCTTGCGAAGCCTGACTGGCCCGGGTCTGCAATGGCCCCGGCCCGTAGAAGCCCGAGAAGAGCAGCGCGCCGGCTTCAATTCGCGCGAGCAGTGCGTGGCAGTTCGGGTCTGTGCGGCGCGAGAGGAGCAATACATTCCTCCTCCTCCCCTTCCTCCTCCCCCTCCCCCTCCTCCTGCTCCTCCTCCTCCTCCTCCTCCTCCTCCTCCTCCTCCTCCTCCTCCTCCTCCCTCTCCTACTTATGGTAGTTATGGTGGGAAATGGGCCCATCCAGTATATTTTTTCAGGCCGGGTGAGCGGGACCTCTGGCGGGGGCGGGAGCGGGGGGGAGCTCGCTTGTCGGGGTGGTGAGGGGCAGTCCAGACTATCGAGGAGGAAAGAACCCCGAGCCGCAGTCGCGCAGTGAAGACGCGGCCCGACTCTCAGGTCCCCGTCTTTGCACTATAGGGATCGTCGATCTGGGTTGTCTGGCTTCGCACATCTGCTGAGGAGGCCCCTCTCCCCGATGTCCTGGGCCTCGTGACTCAGGTCCGCTCCCGAAGGCTGGGGGGCTCCGCTCAGTACCCACAGTGCCGTTTTGAATGCGTGCTCCGCGTGCGGATCATGTACTAAACATGCAGGGCGTTAGCATTGGAAGCAGCGATGAGCTCATGCATGCATTCATGCATACCTTAATCATGCATAAAACTCCCATATTTATCAAATTCCTGTGTATTGAAACCTGCCCTGTACCTATCACAGGACGCGGCACCAGGGATCCCTCCGGGCCCGGCGGGACGGGGCTCCGGCCCTCGGGCCGTCCCCCGGGCCCGAGCGCCGAGCAGCCTGCTGGCGGCCAGGGCGCGCCGTGCGCGGAAGGGCCCCCTCGTGCCGGCGCTCCTTCTGTGACGAGCGAACGAACACAACAACAACAACAACAACAACAACAACAACAACAACAACAACAATAACAACAACAACAACAATAACGACAACAATAACAACAACAACAGTAAAGACACCACCAACAACAACAATCACAACAAGACCAACAACAACAACAACGATTATTATAAGGCTGTTCGCTCTGGCTTGCCCGTGTGTCCTTCAAAACGAGTTCCCCACACCCTCGATACCCGCCCTTGTTGTCTTCGATCGCACCCCCTTTGGGGGGATTCTTCTTTCTCTCTGCGGGGGGCGGCGGGCCTAGACAGGCGGGCAAACCCGAACGTGCGGACAGTCCTTCGTGGGCGTACATGTGCCCGCCATCGGAAGTGGTGTGGGCCCTGCAAAAAGAGGAGGGGGAGAACGAGGGAGAGTGGGAGGAAGGGAGGGGGAGGGACGAAGGAAGAGGGAAAACGCCAGGAGAGAAGGAACGAAGAGGGGGGCGATTGATTAGAGGCAGAGAGAGAGATAAACAAAACAAACATGCCGGAGAGGCAGAGAAAGAGAGAGATGGGAGAGGGAGAGAGAGGGATAGAGAGAGAGAGAGTGGGAGAGAGTGGGAGAGAGAGAGAGAGAGAGAAAGAAATAACGAAAGAGGGTGGGAGGAGGCAGGAGAGGGGAGGGAGAAGGGAGGAGGGAGAGGAGGGAGAGGGGATAGGGCAGAGAGGCATAATGATGAGGGAAGAGAGGAAGGAGAGAGAAGGCAGGAGAGGAGGGAGGAGGGAGGAGGGACGAGGGAGGAGCAGGAAGGTAAGAGCGTGAACGTTCGAGGAAGTCCTAGGCGAAAGCGCCGTTCCTGAAGGAAGTCTCGGGCGGGAGCCCACGACGGGCGGGCGATCCCCTGACGGGCGGGTCGGTATGGCGAGAGCGCGATAATTAAGTAAATTGTAACGGCGTCTTTGGCGCAGCGTGTTTCCTGAGCGTCGAAAGCGCGATTCTGAATACATTGCATGGAAGCCACAGGCGAGAGCGCAATTCCTCAATCAGATGTGAAGGCCTCTCTGGCGGGAGCGGGGGTCTTGATGAGGAAGTCTTGATTCGATCGCGAGGAAGTCTCAAGCGGGAGCGCCGTTCCTGAGTAAATCGTGATGAAGTCTCAGATGGGAGCGGGGGTCCTGACTAAATTGCGAGGAAGTCACAGACGGGAGCACCGATCCTGAGTAAATTGTGAGGAAGTCTCAGGAGCGGGGGTCCTGCGTAAATTTGGAGGAAATCTCAGGCGGGAGCCGTTGTTGTTATAATCCGGGGGGCCAGGGGCCCACTTTTAACACCAAAACCTGCCCTGTCAGAAAACAGGGTGCGAGCGTCGAGGGGCACACTTTGATTAAGAAAAACAGCATGCACCGTTGATGGGGGGGATCTACAATTACGCTACCGAGGAACCCCACAGATTTGTTTTATGTCACGTGTGTTCACAAACCATGTCACATCTCGCTTCGCCATCCTGACGAGAGACTGACCAGACCAGCCAGATCAGCCAGACCAGCAAGACTGAGCAGACCAGCCAGATCAGTCGTTCCAGCCATAACCAGCCAAAGTATTCAGACCAACCAGCCAGGCCAATCAAGCAGACCAGCCAGACCAACCATATTAGTCATGCCAACAAAAGCAGCCAGAATCAGCCAGGCTAGCCACACGAGCCAACCAGGCCAACCAAGCACACCAAGTAGACCAGACCAACAAGAACAACCAGACCACGCCAACCAGACCAACCAGACAAACAAGCGTCGTCGTACTGAGCGTACTGAGCGTACTGAGCGTACTGCCGTTGGCGCATCTGCGGGAGGTTTCCACGCTAACCTCGCCGCCCATCTGAACCATTGCAGTCTTCATCGCCAAACATTGAGGTGGCAGCGCGTCCACGGCGATTTTTGGAGGCATGGCTGCCGCGCAGGTCGGGCGGTGCTCTGAAGTAGGACTACAGGAGCGCGCCTGCGTGAGAGCGCAGGCGCGCCGAGCCGGCTTGAACCAAGGTGTTTACAGTTCTTGACAAGATACGAGCTCCCACCCCCAGCGCAGCCCCTGTGGCGTCGAGGAAATGCCACGCCTGCCACGCCCTCGGATTTTGCAGCGCACCCCTCCAGTGTCGAGAAAGTGCCGCGCCTGCTAGAGACCGCGGTGGGCCCCCACCCCCAGCGCACCCCCTTGTGGCGGCGAGGAAATACCACTCCTGCCAGGCCCTGCGACATTGGCGCGTATAGAGATCGCGGTGGGCCGCCACCCCCAGCGCACCCCCTGTGGCGTCGAGAAAGTGCCACGCCTGCTAGGCCCTGCGGCATTGGCGCGTATAGAGACCGCTGTGGGCCCCCACCCCCAGCGCACCCCCTGTGGCGTCGAGGAAATGCCACGCTTGCTAGGCCCTGCGACATTGGCGCGTATAGAGCCCCCACCCCCAGCGCACCCCCTGTGGCGTCGAGGAAGTGCCACGCCTGCCAGGCCCAGCGCACCCCCTGTGGCGTCGAGGAAGTGCCACGCCTGCCAGGCCCTGCGACGTTGGCGCGTATAGAGACCGCGGTGGGCCCCCACCCCCAGCGCACCCCCTGTGGCGTCGAGGAAGTGCCACGCCTGCTAGGCCCTGCGACATTGGCGCCCGCACCCTCTCTGGTGTCGAGAAAGTGCCACCCCTGCTACCCTCTCTGGTGTCTCCCGAGCGCTGTGTTGTGCTGCGCTGCGCTGTGTTGTGAAGTGTGCTACGCGTGTCTCATGCACGTGCCTTGCAGGTGTCTGTGTTTGTGTTTGTGTTTGTGTGTGTCTGTGTGTCTGTGTGTATGTGTCTGTGTCGGTGTGCCTGTGTATGTATGTATGTATGTATGTATGTCACGTCTGACACGCCTTGCGGGAGAGGGAGGTGTGCGGGTGAGACGCGGGTGCGACGCGGCAGAGAAGAAAACCATGACCCCCACGAAACATGTGGGGAATACTTACTCTTCAGAAAGGAGAGCTCAACAACAACACCATCAACAACAACAGCAACAACAACAACACACACACACAAGGGGGTCGGAGGGGGCTATGGGTGCGTGTTGTCGGATGGCCCCCCTTTCGAACGGGAGCACCCTTCAGAGTCCGATAGCCCGCACCCATGCCCGTAGCCAGTCCTCCAAACGACCCCCCTTATGGGTGTGGGTGCGTGTTGTTCGTCCGTCATTATGGTAACATGATGACGGTAGTTCGGGGGGACAAATCGACATTGACACCACTAAGCGTCGATTCCCCGAACAATGCGGGAGCAGATCGGAAGGGGAGGGGCATGCGAGGATCCAGAACATATTCAGCTAACTTGGGATCTGGTTCGCTTGCATGCCACTTGGGCACTCTTGTGGCCGTCGTAGGAGGAGGCCTCTTGAGAGGGTCTTTGAGCCTCTTGGGGGCTTCTGTGAAGCTTTCTTGGCTGTTTTACAGCGTTCCTGCCTCGTCGGACGCCGTCGGAGGCCGCCTTGGGGGCCTCGCCGTGCCGTCTGGCAGCACTCTGGGGCCGCTTAAGGGCCGTCTTGGAGTTTGTGTCTATTTTTTGCGTGTCCCTCTTGGCCCTTTCCATATTCAACAGTCTTGCCCCGTCAGGCCTCCTGGCGGCGGCCGCTGCCGCGCCGTCGGGCCTCGTCGACGCCCACGACTGTGCGGTGGAGCTGGCCGCGGGAAAGGCGGGGAGTTGGCCGCAGGACAAGGCCCTCCTCCCCTCACGTCTCCTCCCCTCGTCTCCTTCCTCATTATCCTCCTCCCCTCCTCCCCCTTTCCCCCCTCCCCCCTCCTCGTCCTCGTCCTCCTCCTCCTCCTCGTCCCCTCGTCTCCTCCTCCCCCTCCTTCCACTCCTCATCCTCTCCTCATCCTTGTCCCCTCGTCTCCTCCTCCCCTCGTCTCCTCCTCTTCCTCCTGGTCCTCTCCTCATCCTCCGCTCATTCTCCTAATCGGCATCATCCTCTCCTCATCCTCCGCCTCCTTCTCCCCTCCTCTCGGGCAAAGTTCGGGGGGGGGCGGGTCTGTGGGACGCGTCCACCCCCAATCGTCCATTCATCGCCGAAAGAGGCCCGATACTTGCAGATCCCCTATCGTTCCCGCTCTCTTTCTCCTCCTGTGCAGAAGTGTCAACAAAAGCCTCCTGGCGCATCTTGTCCCGACACGGAGAGGCTGGCGTCCCGCCAAAAAAGCCCGACAAACAAAACGCCCCCGGGACCTCTCCATCATGCCCGTTTCGGGAGCCCTGAGACGGGGGTCAACGCAAGCGGGGGTTCAGCCTGAGCGCCGGATCTTGCAGGATCTTGCAGAGCTAGGGCTGCATCGGACCGAGCTAGCGCGCAGGACCCTTCAGGATTTTGTAAGATCTTGCAGAGCCTGACCGACCCAGGTTTGCACTGACGAGGAGCAGTACAACCTCGATCGTTCTTGTTCCGAGCTGCGCATCCGGCCGTGGCTGGAATGGCGCCCCCTAGCGGGCCTCAGAGGGCCAGAGGCGCCGAGCAGCCCTGCCCTCGCCGAGGATGAGAGCACGCCGTAGACACGAACCTTTGGAGTACCGAGCGGAGTTCTCTTGGATCGGCTCTAGACTCCCCTGGCTCGGCACCGGAGGCGCCGCCGGGAGGGCCCATCGCCGATCCAGGAGGAAGTCCGCACACAGCTCCTGAGATTGATGTTCGTGTCGCCGAGGTTCCCCGAGCAGTGCTCGTGTGCAGAGGTCCTTACTTTCGGAGGGGGGAGGAGCGGTGCCAACACCACCAGGGGGCCCACCTCCAGCGAGGAGGTCCACGAGAGGGGGGGACCACACCACCAGGGAGACTCCCCTGGGCCTCCGCGCATCTCCTCGCCCTGCTGGTGTTGGCGCCGCCTTTCCCTGTTCCTATACTTCTGGTCAACAGAGCTGGGCCTGAGTGTCGGTCTGGCGGCTCCGTGCCTGCCGTCCCCGTCGCCGCCTCGTCGCCGCCCGTCGCCTAGGCAGGCCTGTGTGTGTGTGTCGTGCTGGCGGCTCCGCGCCGGCCGTCGCCGCATCGTCGTTGCACCACATAGAGATCGCGCCGCAGATAACTTGCGCCACATGTGTTGAGCACATAGATCGCACAATATATATATATATATATATATATATATATATATTGCACCACATTGATTGCACCGCATAGATCGCGACCCATCGATTGATCCAACATCGACTGCACAACATTGATCGCACCGCATATATTGCGCCGCATCGATTGCACCACATAGACCGCACATCACAGATCGCACAACATAGACAGCACAGAGTAGAGTGAACACCATCTTTTTGCATAATATAGGTTGCGCCACATATTTTGCACAACACATGTCGCACAACATTTATTGTAGCGCAGATTCTGCACAACATAGATCGCACCACATGGATTCTCCTTTCTAAAAGGAGAATCGACTCTACCCCCCCCCGGACTTATCCGTTCCCTTTTCGGGTATGTAAATCATATATGATTCTGACCACTCGTCCATCCTAAATATGAAATCATACCATCCCAGCTAGGCCGGGTTCCCCCCCCCTGAGGTTCCTTGTAGAAAAAACACTATGCGGCGACATTTTTTGTTCTAACATAGCACTTTTTTTCACGAGTCCCTTGCAAAAAATGAGACGAAGTGCACACGCGCGCGTCGTCGCGCGCGCATGCCGAAATCCTTCAAAAACCTTCGGTGCCGGAAGGATTTCGCAATCGAGTTTCCAAAACACATACACAAAAAACATTGTTTCGCAACACTGATTTGCTAAAAAAGCTTCCGCGCGAGCTCTTGCGAAATCTTAAGAAAACCATAGGTTTTTCAAGATTTTCACAAAATGTTACCAAACGGGCTTCGCGCGCGCATGTCGAAATCTGTCGAACGCCCTTGCGCGTGTACCGTCGCGAGAATCCTCTGCAAAAAATGGGACGAAGTGCAGACGCGCGCGTCGTCGCGGGCGTATGCCGAAAACCTTCAAAACCCATCGGTTTCGGAAGGATTTCAAAATCGTGCGCCCAACAAACCTACAAACACCTAAGGTTTCGCAACACGGATTTTCAACAAAAGCGTGCGCGCGGGCGCGCTCTTGCGTCGTCGTCGTCGTCGTCGTCGTCGTCGCCGTCCTCCCTCCTCCCGCGTCGTCGTCGTCGTCGTCGCCTACGTCGTCCTCTGTCTTTTCTCGTGTTCGTCGTCGTCGTCCTCTTTGGCGTCGTGGTCGTTTCCGTCGTCGTTGTCGCCGTGGTCGTCCGTCCTCCTCCTCCCACGTCGTCGTCGTCGTCCGTCGTCGGCGTCTCGTCGTCGGTTCTATTTCGTCACCGTCGTCGTCGTCGTTGTCGTCGTCGTCTTCCCTCCTCCCTCGTCGTTGTCGTCGTCGGCGTCGCCGTCCTTCCTCCTTCGTCGTCGTTCGCGTCGTCGCCGTCCTCCCTCCTCCCTCGTCGTTGTCGTCGTTGTCGTCGTTGTCGCCGTCGTCGTCCTTCCTCCTCCCTCGTCGTCGCCTTCGTTGCGTCGTCGTCGTCGTCTTCGTCGTCGTCGGCGTCGGCGTCGTTGTCGTCGTCGAAGTCGTCGGAGACGTCGTCGGTGTCGTCGTCGTCGTTGTCGTCGGTGTCGTCGTAGTCGGTCTCAAGAGGTTTTGCAAACCAAGTTGCGGGTGGGAGGGTGGGATGTTTGCGCGAGCAGGGGAGAGGACAGCTTCAAGTTGAGCAAGTGATTGATTGCACTACGTAGATTGCACCGCGCAGATTGTACCACATATATTGCACCACCTATGTTTTTCAACGCAGATTGTATGACATATACTGCTCGGAACATACTATTTGGGGTCCACGCTGGCTAACATGTTTTCTTATGCCCAGCTACTTTGCGCAGCTACTTTGCCGACCGCTTCCTCGACGCGAGCTGTTCGTCGCCCACTTGCGGTGGAAAAGAAGACGTGTCGCTGCACTGTTTGTTTCGACGCGCGGCCGTACGTGTTGGGGAGAGCGCCTCGGCCACCAAGGCAAGCTCCGCCTCGGATGCAAGGGCTGCCGTGGGTCTGCCGCGGTTCTGGCTTAGAACAGATGGCGAGGCGACATACACCCTAGGCGATGCTTAAGAAAACTTAAATTTTCGGCCAGAGTCTCGATGATTCTTAATGTTTCAAGGTGAATCCTAAGGTTTCAATCGAAATCCTGGGTCTTTACTCAAATTCTGAGACTATGAATTTCTTAATCCATGATTTCTTAAGCATCTCGCAGGGTGTACTTCCTTATGCCCGAGAGGGCGAAGTGCGTCTAGCACCCCCCCCCCTCGTCAAGAGCAGCCGCGCCACAGACAGATCATGCGGGCTCTCCGTGCGGATGTCTTGGACCGGCCCCGAAGCCCAACTCCTTGGCGCGCGGGGCGTGCCAGGGGGCAGCGCCGGAGGCGCCGCCAGAAGGGCGGGGGAGGAGAGGAAGGGGGAGGGGGAGGAGGAGGAGGAGGAGGGGGAGGGGGAGGGGGAGGAGGAGGGGGAGGAGGAGGAGGAGGAGGAGGAGGAGGAGGAGGAGGAGGAGGAGGAGGAGGCCCATCCAGGAGATCCGCGCGGGCCTCCGACATCCGCTTGTGCCGTTTCCTGTTCTCTTCTGCGTCGGCTCTCGAGCCTCGTGCGCGCGCCGCCGGACAGGCCTCCGTGTGCTGCGTTCTGCACGGCGTGTGCGCCGACGCGGCCAAGGAGAGCGCCGCCGCGGGCGCTTCCGCGAACGGCACCCGCGCACGGGGCACGGCCGCGGAGGGCGAGGGCATCCCCAGAGGCCGACGCCTTTCCCAGTCGGCAGCGCGGGCATGGCGGACAGCCGGGGTCAGCCTTGACGGGGGCACGTCCCTTCCGACGTCCTCTGGCTGGTCCCGCTCTGGGAGAGGCCTCTGAAACGAGGGCGGCCCTGCTGGCGAAAGCAGGCGGAAACAAAAGATGCGCCCAAGAGATGGCACAGTTTTGGGTTTCAGGGTTTACGCCCCATTATCCCGACCATGGCTCTTGGGCGGCGCTCGCGGCCTGCCCCTGTACTCGCCCTTGGCTGCTAGCCGCGCATGCCCTCCAGATTTAGGCACATCACAGGCCTGCGTCGCACTGCTCCTGGGAAGAATCAGACATTGGTGTCGCCGAAGCTGGTGGCCGCCATTGGCCCTGCTAGTTTCGCTCTAGCCGATTCTTCGGCATGTTCGCCTTCGCAGAAAGCCCCACCCTGATTGGGCCAGCGGATGTCCAATGCTGCTGCTACTCAGAAGTACAACTGCACTGACCCCAGCGATGCGCGCCCCGACAAGTGGCCAGCAGAAAAACAGCAGATGTGTTGCATCCAAGAGGGTATTGGTTGTCCTGGTGTGGACTACCGTGGGACCCTGAATCATCTGCAGCCTTGGGCAGCGAAGACGCACACGACGACAGCGAAGACACACACGACGACCAATACCATTGAGAGCACGACCACTACCCTCAGCACCACTGTCAAGGCAGACAACGCGAGTGACACCACCACTAGACTTAACACCACTGTGACGGTAGAAAGCACCACTACGGTGAAAGGTATTACTACAGTAGAAATCACTACTACTGTCACCACCCTGGACAGAGGTGTGTTCGCGAATGTTAACTACGAAGGGAAAACGGACGCTTGTGATGCATTCCAAAACAAGTTCCTCACATATTTGCAAACTATTGAAACGCAGCTTCGGTCGACTGTGGACGTGGACTGCTCTTCGCAAGAGAGGGATAAGGCAGACAAGGCGGAGGATGAGGAACTTGGTATTTCATGGGATGAGCGAAAGGCTGCAATTGGGAGACAGATGAAAGAATCTGGCAAGTTAGGGGACTGGCGGCCAGATTTCAGTGAAGTTATTCAGCGAGATTATTGCTGCACGAACGTTGACACGCGTTGGTGTAAGCAATTTGATGGAAAAGAGAAGTACGCTTACCGATGTGATCTCAATCAAACAGAGTACCAAGAGGAGTGGGTCATGCCGAAGAAATTGTGGTGTTGCCTACATTTCGACATTGGCTGTCGAGCTCTCAGCGAGCTGTGTCCAGACAAGCTTGTCTTTTCTACGACAGCGACAGCGACATCCACGACAACAGCAACGGCGACAGCATTAACGGCAACAACGAGGACAATCACATCAACGTTGGATCCGCAGAGTTGTCAAACTGACCTTGCGAATTGGCAGAACGCATGGCCAGTGGCCAAAAAGACCGAATGCTGCACCCGATTCTTGACGTTCAATGTGTGGCCTGCCGACACAGAGGAAGGATGCTGCAGCAACGGCTTCGCGGCTTGCGAGCAGAGTGATCGAAGGTGCTTGCGCTGGGGAGACCGCCGACCCTTGTTTTAATGGAGGTGTTGACGTGGCCAAACATCAGTCCGAAGCTCGGCCAAGCCGTTGGACCGTGCATTCTCCCAGCCGTGGTGCAAGCGATTTGGGGGACACTACGGAGCCACACTGGACCGTCCAGGTGACTTCCAAGACTTCAAGGGCCCACCGAGGCCATCTTGGGGGCTCCCTGAGGCTGTCTCAGTGGCAGCGGGTGCATCTTGGAGGCGTCGTGGGAACTCTTGAACACGTCTTCGGAACAGACAGACACGCCTCTATATAAGCATCTAAGTCGCATATCATACTATACAGGCATATGTACATGCTTGAGGTCCTTTCCAGCTATGTCCGCGACTCCTGGGACACCTTGAGAACCTCTAGATCTTCTTGAGCTATCGCGGCGCATGTTGTCTTTCTTGGGGCGTCTGCTAGCGGCTGTCTTGGGGCCTTCTCGGGCGACCTTGGTGAAACCTTCGACCCCTCTCGCCCCCCTCCTTCTTTGGACCTGTCTGTGTTTCTTATGGTTCTTGGAGCAAAAAAAGAAAACAGTGGTGGAACTGCTACTTGCAAATGGTGGGGTCTCCACAGAGTCCCTCCCCCTGCCCCCTTCGAAACGGTCTGTTTCCCCCCCCCCCCCGCAGGGGGGGACCCCCGCCTCCAATTCTTTGCGCCTGCAAAGGGTGAGTGAGTGGTTCACCCCCCGTTCTGCGCATGAGAGGGTGTGTCAGAGGTTTCGGTGACGGGTTTTACGTGGTGGGTTAGGATGTTAGGGTTTAGGGCCAGGTTTTCAGTGTTAGGGTTGAGGGTCGAGGTCTGGGGTTTAGGTTTGTTGTTTAGGATTTAGGGTTTTGGTTCGGGTGTGAGGGTCAGGGTGTTAGGGTCTAGTTCTCAGGCTCAGGGTTAGACTAGGGTGAACCGGGGTCGTCGGGTTAGAGGTGCGGGTTTCGGGTGTTGTTGCTAGTGCTCAGGGTTTGGTTTGATGCGTAAGTGTCAGTTGAATACGGTTCTTTAGGGCAGGGTTGCCCAGGTGAGGGTGCCAGTGTTAGCGTGTTGGGGATTCGGGTTTTCGGGGATCAGGGCTGGTTCTCGAAGACGCCTGCGGCGAACCACCGCCCCCCGCTGCCTCGTAGGATGTGCCCATGTGACCAAACGTTTGGGCAGAGTTTGGCCACGCTCTTGGACCATGCGTTCCCCCAGCCGTTGTGGAAGCCTTTCGGGGAACGCGTGAGCGAGGGAGAGGAGGATAATGAGAGGGCGGCAAAAAAAGGATGAGGAAGGGGATGAGGAAACCTCTTGGGAGCTTTTAAAATCATTATTGGGGCCTTATGGGAGGTTCATAAGGGGCCTCTTGAAGACCTTTTGGTGGCCTCCTGGGGCCTCTCCTTTTGGAGGCCTTTGGGAGCTTCTTGGGGGCCTCCTTGGTCGTCTAATGGCGTTCCTTGCCCGTCTGACGCCGTCGGAAGCGGTCTTGGGAGCCTCTTTGGGCCATCTTGGGGCCTCTTGGGGCGCTTCAGGGTCGTCGTGCAGACCATGTTTGGCGTCTTGGAGGCCTCTTGGGCCATCTTGGGGCCCCTTGGGGGCGGGTCGTCTTGGGAGCCTCTTGGGCCGCCTTGGGTTCATCTTGGAGCCCTCTTGGGCGATCCTGGGGCAATATGTGGGGCCTCTAGGGTCGTCTTGGGCAGTCGGAAGGCTGTTTTGAAGCAAATGCCACAATCCTTCAACAAACAAAGGTAATCAATAATTTGGGCCTCTTCGGGCCTTCCTGGAAGACCTCTTGGAGTCCTCCTCGGCCTTCTTAGGGGCCTCTTGGGCGCTTCTTGGGCCATCTTGGGCTCTCTTGGACCATCTTGGCGGTCTTGGAGGCATCTTGGATCCGTCCTGGAGGCCATCTTGAGCCTATCTTGCGCTCCCTTGGAGCCATTTTGCCCGTCTTGGAGGCATCTTGGAGGCCATCTGGGCCGTCTTGGAAGCGATTTGGGCAGCGCGCTCTGGACCATGAAGAGCTTTCCGGGTGGCCGACGGGTTCGGCCGAAACCCCAGTGGGAGTCTAAAAGAACCGGAAACCACGATTAGTTCAGCACGCCGTGCACCCTTGTGGCAAGCCACAGGGGGCGGCGGATGATGGAAAGTGCGCTTTGATTGCGACCCTTTAGCCGTGAGGGGGTTGGCAGCCAGAGCCCCAGATGACGGAAAGCGCGCTTAGCGTCGCGACCCGTGAGTTGGAATATCGAGGGGGGGTGTAAGGGGGTCGGCAGCTGGGGCCCCAGATGACGGAAAGCGCGCGAAGTGTCGGGATCCATTAGTCGGGAGAAATCTCCAGGGGGAGTGTGAGGGGGTTGGCCTCGGCGGCCCCAGATGACGGAAAGCGCGCGCGGCGTCGCGATCCGTTAGCCGGGAGAAGTAACCAGTGGGAGTGTGAGGGGGTTGGCCTCGCGAGGCTCAGATCGAACGGCCCAAGTTTCCGCCAGTTTCGGCCGGAGATGGCCCAAGTCGGCGCCGCGAACCTACAAGAGGCCTCCAAGGCAGCCCAAGAGGCCCCCAGGAGGCCCAACATACCTCCAGGACAGCCTCTCAGGGAGGCCCAAGAGGACCTCAAGACGGCCCAGGAGCGTTCAACAACGAACCCAAGATGGCCTCAAGACGGCCAGAGAGGCCCTCAAGACGCTCCAAGAGGCTTCCCAAAAGGACCCCAAGATGGTAAAACTCGACGGCCGAAGAGGCCCCCAAGACCGCTCGAAGACGGCCCAAGAGGTCCCCAAGAGGGCCCCAAGACGGCTCAAGTGGGCTCCACGACAGCCCAATGGGGTCCCAAGAAGGCCAAAGACAGACCCCTGAGGGCCCCAAAAGGTTCCCAAGAGAGCCCCAAGAGGACCACAGGAGGTCCCCAAGACGACCCAAACGAGCCCCCAAAGGACCCCTCAGGAAGGCGTGCAAATGCAGCATACAATATTCATTGCAATGTGATAAATGCCTCCAAGACGCCCCAAGACGGCCTAAAAGGGCTTTCAGACGGCCCAAGAGGAACCAATAGGGCCAGAACAGGACCCGGAGGAGGCAAGCATGATTGATTTTCCGTCGGTTTTTGTAAGTTGTTTTGGTTCTCGCCTTTTCGGGCTTCCGACGGCCCAGGACGGCTCAAGGGGCCCCCACGATCGTCCCAAGATGGCCCCAGAGGCCCCTGAGAGGGCCCCCCAAGGCGGCCCAAGAGGGCCCCCCCTGGCCGGCCCCAGCGGGATCCCAGAAGGCCCAATGAGGCCCCCTGGAGGTCCCAAGAAAGCCCCAAAAGGGCCTCATACGGCTTCCAAGATGGCTCCATGAGGCCCCAAGGAAAGCTCGAAGACGTCCAAAGCCCTGCAAGAAGCCCCAAGACGGCCCAAGAGGGCCCCAGGACGGCCCAAGAGGCCCCAACAGGGCTCCAGCAGGACCTGGAAGCCAAAAAACAATCAATCCCTCTAGGTGTTGTAGGTTTTGGGGGTTCTCGCCTTTTCGGTCTCCGACAGCCTTGGACTGCCAAGGCCCCCCTGATCGTCCCAAGATGGCCCAAGAGGGTCCCATGCGCCCCAAGAGGCCCCCCCGGACGGCCCCAGAGGCCCCCAAGACGACCCGAGAGGGCCCCTGGAGGCTCCCAAGAGAGCCCCAAGTGGGCCCCACGTGGCTCCCAAGAGGATCCCACGAGGCCCCAGGGAAGCCACCAAGGTGGCCAAAGCTGCTCAAGACGCCCTAAGACGGCCCAAAAGGGCCCCAGACCAGCCCACGAGGACCTTAAGAGGGCCCAGCAGGGCCCCAACAGAACCCCCGAGAAGGCCCGGAGACGCCAAGCTCGTAACACCAGGGCTCCCCAGAGCGAGCGATGACGTAAACAATGCCTAACACCAGGGCTCCCCAGAGCGAGCGGTGACGTAAAAAGATCTGAGCACCAAGGCTCCCCAGAGCCCATCGTGATGTGTCAAGCTCTGAGCACCAAGTCTCCCGAGAGCGAACGGTGACAACACAAGCTCTGAGCACCAAGGTTTCAAAGAGCGAGCAGTGACGTAAAAGGGTCTGAACAACAAGGGTCCCAGGAGCCCATAGTGACGTGACAAGCTCTGAGCACCAAGGCTCCCAAGAGCGAGTGGTAACGTCAAAAGCCCTTGACAAGGCTCCCAAAAGCGAGCGGTGATGCAAACAACTCTGAACACCAAGGCTCCCAAGAGCGAACGGTGCCATGAACCATCCCGGGCAAGTTTCTGAAGTGCTCTTCCGTTCCCCGTGCCGGCCCAGGTAATGGAAACAGCGAGGTAGGTGGGGCGAGGCACGGACGACCGGCATTTGATGGCCAGGCCCCCTCCCAGACAGCCCAAGAGGCGCCCAAGACGTCCCAAGAAGCGCCCAAGACGGCCCAAGAGGGGTCCAAGAGGGCTCCGAGACGGCCCAACGCGCCCCAAGAAAGCATAGGACCGCCTAAGGGCGTTCCAGGAATGCCAAGAAAGCTTCTGATGGCCTCAGGACGGCCCAGGAATGCTCCAAGGAGGTCCAAGAAGGATGTCCAAGAGGCCCACGAGGGGACTTCCAAGAGGGCCTGAGGAGGCCAAAAACATTGATGCTCCTCCGGTTGTTTATGATGTTCTTCTGTTGTTGGCTCTCAACTTTTCGGGCCAGGCCCAAGAGGCCCCAAGGATCGTCCCCAGACGGCCCCAGGGGCCCCAAGACGGCCCAAGAGGGCCACAAGACGGGCCAAGAGGGCCCCAAAACAGCCCAAGGGGGCCCCAAGACGGCCCGAAGAGAGCCCCGAGAGGGCCCCAAGAGGCTCCCAGGAGCGCCTGAAGAGGCCTCCAAGGCAGCCCCAAACGGCCAAAGGCCTCCAAGACGCCCTTAGCCGGCCCACAAGGGCCACCCAACCGGCCCGAAAGGGCGCCAAGACTGCCCAAAAAAGGACCCCCAAAGAGCCCTCAGGAGGGTGAGCGCATTGATTTCCGTTAGGTGTTTGTATGTTTCTTATGTTCGCCTTTTGGGGCTTCCGACGGCCCAGGACGGCTCAAGAGGCCCCCAAGATCTTCCCAAGATGGCCCGAGAGGCCCCCAAGAGGGCCCCAAGGCGCCCGAAGAGGGCCCCTGGAGGCCCCCAAGAGAGCCCCAAGTGGACCCCATAGGGCTCCCGATAGGGCCCCAAGAAGCCCCAGGGAAAGCTCCGAGACGGCCGAGGGCCTCCAAAACGCCCCAAGACGGCCCAAATGGGCTCCAGGTCGGCCCAAGAGTGCCCCAAGAGAGCCCAACAGAGCCCCAACAGGACCTTGAGGAGACAACAAACATGGATTTCCCTTTGGTTTGTTTGTGAGTTCTTTGGGTTCTCGCCTTTTCGGGTTGGCCCTGAGGATCGTCCCAAGATTGCCCAAGAGATCCCCAAGAGGGCCCCAGGCCGCCCCAAGAGGCCCCCGTGACGGCCCCAGAAGACCCCAAGAGGGCCCAAGAGGGCGCCTAGAGGCTCCCAAGAAAGCCCCAAGTGGGCACCGTGAGGCTCACAATAGGGCCCCAAGAAGCCCCAAGGAAAGCTCCAAGACGTCCACGGCCCTCCGATACGCCCCAAGACGGCTCGAAAGGAGTGTAGGGAATGTGCTGCTTGGGTGTAGGGACTGGGCTGGCCCCAAGACAGCCCAAGAGGGTCCCCACCGGCCCAAACGCGCTTCCAAAAGACCCCCAAGAAGCCCCAGAGACGTCCAGCAATAACATGGCTCCCAACAGCGAGCGGTAACGCAACAAGCTCTTCACACCACGGCTCCTCAGAGCGCGGTGACATCAAAAGTTCTGAATGCCAAGGCTCCCAATAGCGAGCGGCCACGTAAAAGTCTCTGACCACCAGGGCTCCTAACAGAGAGCGGTGAAGTAACAAGCTCTCAACACCAAGACTCCCAAGAGCGAAGGGTACCATGATCCATCTCGGGCAGGTTCCTGAAGCGGTCTTTCCGTGCCCGTGCCGGCCCAGTGATAGCCACAATGTTTGTGCCATTTTCGGCCCAAGCTGGCCCAAGCATGCCCCAAGAACGCGCCAAAGGCCCCTCAGACGGCCCAAGAAGCCCCCAAGGCGGCCTAACGTACCTCCAGGACGCCCTCAGGGAGGCCCAAGAGGACCCCAAGACGGCCGAAGAACGTTCAAAACGAACCCAAGACGGCCTCAAGACGGCCAGAGATGCCCTCAAGACGCTCCAAGAGGCTCCCAAAAGTACCCCAAATGATAAACATCGCTTCGTTCCCTTAAGACAACGTCCATGTTTAGCACATTCGCTCCTTTGGTCTGCACAGCGTCCAAGACGGCCCAAGAGGCCCCCAAGACCGCTCGAAGACGGCCCAAGTTGGCTCCAAGACGGCCCAAGAGAGTCCCAAGAATCCCAAGAGAGACCCCTGAGGGTCCCAAACTATTCCCAAGAGAGCCCAAAGAGGACCACATGAGGTCCCCAAGAGAGCCCCGAGAGGGCCCCAAGAGAGCCGAAGCCCCCCAAGACGGCCCAAGAGGGCCCCAGGACGGCCCAAGAGTGCCCAAGATTGCCCAAAAGAGCCCCAACAGTAACCTCAGGATGGCCCGGAAATGCAATATTCCTTGATTTCTGCGATGTTTCGTTGCCAGGTTTTCGTATGTCGTGCCAGGGCTTTAACACCAGCAGGGCTCCAAGACACTAAGCCGTTGACCTCCATTAAGATCAACCCTCAGAGTGACCAAAGATGTTCCCAGGCGGCTCCAGGGGCACCCTGGGGCACCCGAGAGGATCCCGATAGACCACCGGGAAGCCCCCAAAGGTCGCCAGTTCGGCAGATGATCTCGAAACGGTGCAGAAGACGGGAAGAGTCGCGCGCAAGCGGCACCAAGCAACCACAACACTCATCTGCAAACGGCAGCAACCAGCAATACGCAACATCAAGCCACAGCTGCGAGCAACACCCAGCAGCGGCAAATGGCCGCAAACGACAGACACAACAGCAGAAACATCAAGCGAACTGAGCAACTGCGCTTCCCGCTGCGGCCGAAAAAGGTCTCTATGTTTGGTTCTTGGGCCCACGGAGTCGTTCAATGGCCCACGAGGGCATCGATTGTGCTCGAACACGGCTTACACATAGCCCAAGGGATTTGAAACGAATTCCGAGATGGTCAGAGAGGTTTCAGGGTCTTCCACATAGGTTCGAAGGGAGACTCCAAGACGCACGAAGCCAACGTTCTCGGCTTACTCGGGTCCTCGGCTCAGCATGTGTCCAACAGGCCTTCGAGCGCATGCAACGGCCGAAGGTAGCTCCAAGGGGAGCGCCGATTCAGCCTGAGAGGGCCCACGTTGTGATCAAGACGACCCAGTAACCACCGAGAAGGCCCCTGGGACGACTCGAGAGGACTTTCGGAAGACCAAGCTGCCCACGCGAGCCCCAAGATGGCCAGAGGCAGCCCAAGAGACCTTGCAGAGGGCCCCAGTATGCTCCGTGACGATGTTTCACGAGCCTAGGAGGCCCCCGTATTACCCCCAAGAGGCTTCAGATGTCCCGACCCCGTGGATACGCAGTGCTTTTTCATGGCTGCCCAGCGCGGAACGTATCCATGCGACCGCGTATCCACGGGATCGCGCACAGAAACATCCGGACCGCGAGGGAGTGGATGTGTATACGTTCGCCGTTCGTGAGCCAAGGCGGCCCAAGAGGCCCCAGCAGATACCCCGGGCAGCCTTTGGAGCGTTTCGAAACAGATCAGAAACGCCCGTGACCGCACGGCAGGCCCCACAGGTCACTGGGAGAAACGCGCGAAGGGCCCAGGGCGAGGACCCGAGAAGCGCGAAACCAGTGTCAAGCGGCAGCAAGGCAACACGCGTAGCACGTAGCAGTAAACATCTATCACAGGCCTAGAGGTTGACACCAACACCAAAATCGGGTGTGTGCCTCCACCGAGGGAAGAAGATCCCGATCTCGGTGATGGTGGCAATCTTCTGGCTGCCGAGGTGACCGACATACTATCACCAACACCGAAATCTAGGATCAGCTTCCCTCTGTGGAGGCAACCCCTTGTGTCGGTGTTGGTGCTCATTAACAGGCCTCCAAATCTAGGCCTCCCAGATGGGGTCCGAGTAGATGTGGTCGGAGGATCGCGCTGCATCGCTGATGCATCGACGATGCGGCTCGATGTGGAACCCAGTTTTCGCCGCGCCGACGTCCTCGATGCATCGTTGATGCGGTGCGATTCTCCGACCCTATCAATTCGGACCCCATCTGGGAGGCCTCTAAACCAGAAGCCAGCATCAGAAACTGCAGCAAGCAGTACCACGCAGCAGCACGCAGCCACACGCTGCGGGACGCAGCAGTATCAGTAAGTGGCAGCAAGCAGCAGAGCGCAGCAGCATGACTCTGGAATCAGCAGTGGCGTTTTCCATTGTGTCCGACATGTGTTTTGAGAGGTCCCGTGCCAGTGGGTGCAAATACCCACAGGCGTTGTAGGGTTATCTCAGAGGCCAAGAATGTTGGGGCACCCCGAGGAGGTTGGCTTAAAGAGGGCTCGGGAGGGGGGGGCATAGGGCATAGGGGATGCGTTTGACAGGGGCTTGGTTGATATTCAGCCCATTTGTCCGCTCTCTTAGTGCAAGACATCCCACTTGACATAATAGTTCGTGACGGCGAACGACTTGGAGGCCCCACAGTGGCTTTGGCGGATAATCCCGAGTACGACTGTGAGGCAGCGTATCCAAATTGGCGCGAGGCTTGGTCTGCAGAAAAACAGGAGTGGTGCTGCGCTCATTACAAGCGCGGTTGCCACGAAGCGTCATATGAGTGTGATACGAGCGACGATGATTTGATATCGGATTGGCCTGTGAGCAAGAGCAGCTGGTGTTGTACGCATCGGCAGGTGGGCTGCGCGGCAGATCCACAGAGCGAGGGCGCGGCAGGCTTTGATTGCTCGCCTAGCGCCCAGAACACCGCTCCGGAGTGGTCTCAGGAGCAGAAGCGCTGGTGCTGCATGTATGAGGACGTTGGTTGCCACGAGTTGGTTGCGGAGAACCGCCTTGCTGCCAAATACACGCAGGCGTCAACTTCAGATTGGACGCCGTCCCCTGCAAGCGCGCTCGTTCGCACGTGGGGTGTTGGCGTTATTTTGCTGGCGTCTACCGCGTTGACTCTGCACACTGTCTGCAGACGCCGTGTCTACCATCTTCCTGTAGCGAACCAGGCCATGCTACTGGGCGTGGGTGTAGAGCTAGAATGACAGATGCTCTTAACGATCCAGCTACCTGCGGCGAATCCCGCCACCGTACTAGCGCAACAGCGCAGCAGCGCAGCGCGAAGGAGGTTGAGTCAAATAGCCATTGCAATTCAGCGCGCGGTCTAAACTGGATTGGGTCTCAAGCTCGACCTCGTTCCCTCGACTCACTGGGGCCTCTGGGGGCCATCTTTGGGCCTCACGGAGGGCCTCTTTGGGGCCTTTTGCTGCCTATTGGGGGCCTCGTGGGCCATATTAGGTCTCCTGGCCCGTCTGACGCCTTCGGAGGCCGTCTTGGGAGCCTCCCTGGGCCGTCTTGGAGTCATCTTCGGGCGCTTCCAGGCCGTCGTGTAGGTCTCTTGGACAGTCTGGGTGCCCTCTCGTGGCCTTCTCTCGAGGGCCTGGTTCGGTTGTCTGAGGTGGCCTCTCTGCCCGCCTTGTTGGCGGCCTCTGGCGCCGTCTTGGGCTGCCGGAAGCCCGAAGAGAAGTCTCGATGATCCTCAGGACGTGTGTTTGCCGAGTGTGTGTGTGTGTGTGTGTGTTACTCCGTTCAGCTCCACCGATTGATCATTGCATCGCCTGCGTCGGACTGACGGATCTCGATGGGCAAACACACGCTGGCGCTGACACACGTCCTGAGGATTCTCGAAAGGCGGCACCTGGAAAATTATACATTTCGGTGTCGTCGGGCCCTCGGGGCCCTCCTGGTGCTGCACCAGGGGCCTTCCGGGCCGTCTTGGGCCGATCTGGGGCTGCCTTCGTGGTGTCTTGGGCCAGCCTTGGAGGCATAGTGGAGGCCATCTTGGATGCTGCCAGGTGTCCTGGCGCAGTCTTCAGGCAGGAAAGAGCGCTGGAGAGCAACTGGGGGCGGTTTTCTGATCGCGCGCGCGTGCTGCAACCCTCCTCGAAATCCAACGCAAATTTTACTGTTGGTTGACGCGCGAAACGAGGCCCACGGTGTCAGGTTTTTGTGTTTGCAGTCGCCAATTTCGGCGCGAACGTTGAAGTTTTGGGGGTCCTGGGGCGCCGCCACGTCGCGGGAAAAACTTGCGTTTGAACTCGAGGGGGGATGCAGTGGGGGGGAGGGGGTCGGCCCAAGAAACACAAAAGACATGTCACCAGACAGCAAGGGAGCATTCTAAGTCGCACTACGTGCAAACGGCACTGTGGCGGATTTTGTCACACGCTAGTTTCGTCGAGCGACGGGGCAATGCGCCTCTCTGGAGAAGCCGATCTCGAGAAGGGTGCTTGTGATTACAGCGTTTCCGCGTTTCCAGTGTATAGGGCCAGCTTGAATGTTTGAACTGTACAGCGTATGTGTTGATTCTCGCGCGGGATCTTCCTGACCCTTCAGATGCCTCCCTCCCGAGCATCTTATCACACAGTGTAGAGCTTTGTGTTCCCATCATGGGTCTGTTCATTTGTGTTGTGCTTGTCGTGCTGACCCTGCTCCATTGCATGCCCACGTTTGCGAATTTGAAGCACCATTCTCAATTACTCGATGCGCGGCAGAAGGCATGTCTCGATGTTGGAGGCCCAAAGCTGGATCTCTACGAATGAACGGTCGCGCGGGCAGCACAGCCTGACGAGTGAAAACAGGTTCAGCAGATCTATTGCATATGGCAGGTTCGCGTCGTGTCGTGCAAGGTTGAACGCCGCCAGTGGCCCAGAATCGACCATCATGAAACGATTGGGCGATCGAAGAGCCGCCGATCGTTCAAGATTGAACGATCCACGTGGTGTCAGGAACCAACGCCAGGGTCGTCACGACATGAACCTTCCGTATCTTCTGCTACATTTGTTTTGCTTCTGTTACATGTGTCCTGCATTGGGTTGCCGTGATCAGCATGCGTGCTTAGTCCATGCTTCTGGCATCGCCGACGGTGACGTATCCTGCGTTTGCGTTTGGGTCACGTCTTGTTATGTTGGTACCCTACTGCCCACGTGCAGATCCAGCGTCGTCAGCAGTGTCGCCAGTGATGTCGTGTGTGAACCCTCCTTCAGCACCCTCACGGTCTAGAGCTGCTGCGCCGTGGCCGGCGTATCGCCACGTCCTCCGTCGGAGGCGGAGGAAGAGGCGGAGGAGGCGGAGGAGGAGGAGGAGGAGGAAGAGGAGGAGGAGGAGGAGGAGGAGGTGGAGGGAGGAGGTGGAGGAGGAGGGGAGGAGGAGGAGGAGGAGGAGGAGGAGGAGGAGGAGGGAGGAGGAGGAGGAGGAGGAGGAGGAGGAGGAGGAGGAGCACAACGTTGTCTGGGGGCGCGGTGCCCGCGGCCCGCGCCCCGTGCCCCGCTCTGCCCACGCCCTGCGGCGGCGCTGCGCCTCGGAGGTGCGCGGGGCGGGGGCGACGTTCGGGGGGGCTCGGCGCAGGGGGGGCGCCCCGGGGCACAGGCTCGAGCGTGTGCACCTCCTTGGCATCGCTCGGACGTGTGCATTTTTCCTTCGGCGAGGACAATCGAGGAGCATCCTTGATCATATGGCGAAAAAACCACGCACGAAACCGAACAAAAAATACAGGGAATGGACGTCCGAGCGATGGCCAGCCTCTCCCGGCGAGGACCGGCGAGGAGCCTGCCGGGCCGTCCGTGCGAAGAGGCCGCGCGCGGAGCCGAGCGGTGCACGGGGAGTGGACGTCCGAGCGGCGGCGAGGGGGGACGGGCCTCAGGGGGAGGGTGCGCATCGACCCCCCCGTCGCCCGCTCATCGCCGGCAGGGGCCCGATGGCCCGCCCAGGCCGGGAGCGTGCGGACTCGCCATGGGGGGCATGCCGCCCGTCAGCCGACGATGCATCGCCGATTCCAGGTCGATGTCTTCCCCCAGTGAGTCGCCCCCCATCCCCGAGCGTTCCGTCGCGTATCGGTGGCTGGGGGCTGCGAAGGATGTGGCCTCAACAGGGAGATCGAGTTCCCAGACATCCGGCGCTCCAACTTGTGGTTTCGATGCGCGGAACCCCAGAGCCGGAAGGACAATTATCGGGTTGGGAAGATGTGGTTGGGAGAGATGACCAGATCATCCGTGGTATCGCGCAGGTCGAGCGTGCCTGTGACACAGTCGTGCCCCGTTTCCTTCCAACCCCACCCTCCCAGCCCGATAGCTGTCTTTCTGGCAAAGGTCTGGACCGCCTCCCCAGGGCCAGGTTTTCGTCCCGGGTCGTTTTTTGACGGTCTCACATCCCCCTACGAAATCTCACGCAAGCTTTTCCCGCGACGTGGCGGCGCCCCAGGACCCCCAAAAATGTCAACGCCGACGTTGGAGACTGCAAACACAAACACTGGACCCCGTGGGTCGCGTCTCGCGCGTCGACCAACATTGAAAACTTGCGTTGGACTTCGAGGAGGTTTGCAGGGCCCGTTGAGGATCCCCCAAGGCTGAACAGTATCCAAAACAGCCCGCTCCAGTTGTTTTCTGGGGCATCGGATCTCTGGTTTCGTGTCGTGTCGTGCAGGGGGGGCCGAGGGCCTCGCGAGGGCGGCGAGGCGTCGGCCGAGGCGGGGGGGCCGGTCCCGGCAGGATGATTCGCCCTCGCGTCGCGCGGGTGGGGCGCAGGACGGTGCCGTGGGCTGTCCCGTGGGCGTCCCGCGGGCCTGTCGCGTGTCTGTCCCGCGGGTCGTCCCGTGGGCTGTTCCGCGATTGTCCAGCACGGTTCTTCTGGGTAGCAAGAGGTACCCAATTCCGCTACCCATCCATCGTATGCTACATTCGCCTCGAAGTCCTGGACAAAACGCACTCCAGCAGAGGTCCGATGATGTCGAGCTCCTTATCCCGCCCGCTCGCGTGTGCTATAAGGAACGGGGGGGGGGCGGCGTCTTCCTTTGGGAGGTTCGTGGTCGTTCGTTGTCGTCCTTCGTGTCTCGCTTCGTCGTCGCGTCCGTCGCCCCTTCCCTCTTCGGGAGTTGCCGCACGGCACTGTATTAAGTTCTGGGGTGGCCGTTGTTTGCGCTCCTGGACTGGAGAATGGCCCTCCCCAGCCGGCGGATCGAACTCATCCCCCCCCTCAGGGTACCCCCCCTTTTGGTGGGCCACGACATGAGGGGTGGGCGTCCTGAGGTGTGTCGCCGGTTTCGGGCCCTCGGGGCCCTCCACGGGCCCCTTAAGGCGGTCAGAAAATGACTCAGGATGAAGAGTCCTCCTCCTTCTCCTCCTTCTCCTCCTCCTCCTCTTCCATTGGATCCCGAGCCGTGCAGGGTTCGGCGCATGTGGCCTCTTGTCTTGGCCTTCGATCCAGACGCCTCTAGCGCCGATCCACGAACTCCGCGCGGACCTGCGAGCGTGGGTTGAAGGCAGAATCCTCACGGAAGGCAATCGTCCCACCGAGTGCAGCACGTTTTGCTCCCTGGGGGCAAGCTGTGTTTGCCTTCAGCGCCCGCTTCCCTCATGCTCAATGCCTTCTCCGCCTCCCCCTCCCCTCCGTCCGCCCCTCCGTCCGCCCAGGCAGACGGGCGGGAGCCCGAGGAGGCGGACGCGCGGCCAGCCAAGTGCCGTTGCCTCGCGTTGCCGAGGATCGCGGCAGCCGCCGTCGTCGTGGTCGCCGACGACGACGACGACGTTCGTCGTCGGGGGGTCGCCGTCGTCGATGACATCGTCGTCGGGGTGTCGAGGCGGATGGAGGCGGAGGAGGAGGACGAGGAGGAGGACGAGGACGAGGACGAGGACGAGGAGGAGGAGGACAAGGAGGAGGAGGACGAGGAGGAAGAGGCGGAGGAGGAGGAGGAGGATCAGAGGAGGAACGGGATCCGAGGCCGCTACCCCTGCCTTGTTTTCGCTTGTTGGGGCACGCAGGGAGCATCTCGATGCGCTTTGAAATCCTGGCCAGAACGCACCCCAAGGAGGAGTGGGGGAGGAGGGAGCGAGGAGTGGGAGGGAAGAGGACAAGGGGCAGGAAGGAAGGGAGGATGGTCGGCGAAGGGGAAGGCTGAGTCGCGAGGAAGAGAAGTACATGCGGGGGGAAGGTGCAAGACGGGTGGCACATCCCAACCCTAAAACACCATCTTGGCAACATTTTGGGGTGGACT